TCTATCCCTGTGCTGTTAGTGACCTTGCGCGGACAGTGCATTTCACATGCGGCTATTTTCTGTTCTAGTGTCCTGGATCATTGTCCATGATTGGTACTGATAGTATTAAGTAGGAATTAGGATGTTATTGTTTAACCGCCTTCAGATTTTAGTATTTTTGATTCAGGATCTTTTGCAGATTTTTTTAAGGCATAGTACTGCTACTTTATCCTTCTTTTTACTATACAATACAACATACTTGTTTATTTGTAAATTGAAATTAATTTTGCTCCCTCTTTCCATTGATAGACTGTGATCCAACATTTTGGGGAGACAAATGTGCCAAGTCATGCAGCGTTGACTGCAAGGACCAGTTATGTAACGCTATTAACGGAACTTGCTTCTCCTGTGTTGCAGGCCAATCTGGGGAGAACTGCAGTAAAGGTATCTTCTCCACCTCTAGTCATCTTCACATACATACAGACGCAGATACACATAAATACACACAATCACAAGTGATACAAGCAATTGTGCGCTGCTTGTGATCTTTCAACAGCATACAACGACGTGGATATTTTATTTAGTTAAATAGCACAACATGATGTTAAAATAAGAAGCCTACTTCAGGTCAAAATATAGGTCCATGCCGAAAAAAAAACCAATAGCTTAAAAGGTAAGCACTGGACACGAAAAACTTATAATTTCATTCTTGACAGTAGGCCTGAAATGATCCAGAGACATAGCTTCGGTAAGACGTCGAACGGTTGCAATAAAGATTTGTCTTTGTTAAGCATTTTTCTTAGACTCTAGTCTCTACCTGTTTTATATGTACCTATCTGCGGACTTTTTGTTTTTCTTCTCCATCTTTCTTCTTCTCCATCTTCTTCTCCATCTCCTTATTCTTCTTCTTCTTCTTCTTCTTCTTCTTCTTCTTCTTCTTCTTCTTTTCTTCTTCTTCTTCTTCTTCTTCTTCTTCTTCTTCTTCTTCTTCTTCTTCTTCTTCTTTCTTCTTTCTTCTTTCTTCTTCTTCTTCTTCTTCGTTCTTCTTCTTCTTTTTCTTCTTCTTCTTCTTCTTCTTTGCATCTCTTCTTCTTCTTTCTTCTTCTTCTTTTCTTCTTCTTTTGTTCTTCTTCTTCTTCTTCTTCTTCTTCTCTTTTCTTCTTCTTCTTCTTCTTCTTTCTTCTTTTTTCTTCTTCTTCTTCTTTTCTTCTTCTTCTTCTTCTTTTCTTCTTCTTCTTTTCTTTCTTCTTCTTCTTTTCTTCTTCTCTTTCTCTCTTCTTCTTCTTCTTCTTCTTCTTCTCTTCTTACTTCTTCTTCTTCTTCTTCTTCTTCTTCTCTTTTCTTTCTTTCTTCTTCTTCTTCTTCTTCTTCTTCTTTCTTCTTATTCTTTTCTTTCTTCGTAATTTCTTCTTCTTCTTCTGTACTTCTTCTTCTTTCTTCTTTCTTCCTTCTTCTTCTTCTTCTTCTTCTTCTTTTTCTTCTTCTTCTTCTTCTTCTTCTTCTTTTTTATTTAGTGAGCGAGAGATCATACTGCTGAGCCTCTACAATAATGGCTATGTTTTAGGCTTTGGAGAGGAAGAATCCCCATGGCCTCAATTCTTTCCCTATTCTTCACTTTCTTCTTCAAAGATAAAAGGTGTCTATGCAAGTTTTAGACCTCTATTCTGTGCCCAGTTCTTTAGTTTCTTTACTGGTTTTGAAACTTATAGGAGGCTGTTTTTGGTGACTTTACTGGCCGTGCAACACTGCTGGAGAACATGAAAAAACGCTGCTGTGAGAAAATATGTACATCTGTTTTACAGCAAAACGCAGCATATCGCCTACGCTCCTAGCCAATCTATGTTGTTCGACAGCGTCCGTGGTCCTCTGCTTTACAAATGACCACGAACTAAGTTCTCTTCTTCCCTTGGCCATGTCGACTTTGGGTATTCCTTGACGCGCGTATATTTTACACGGGCGTTCTGTATGGCATGTTATGACCTTGGACTACAACTTAAAACATGGGCATCATATATAATTGCATCACAAGTATTTATAATAAAGAAGAGTCCCATTTTATAGCAGGATTTATGACGTTTGAATAGTCATACTCATGTAAACATTTCTGAATCAACAGCTTGCAATACTACATATTACGGTGAAAATTGCACACTTTCGTGCAGTGATAACTGTGCTGATCAACTCTGCAATGCTACAAGTGGAAACTGTCTGAAATGTGTGACTGGGAAGTATGGTTTATTTTGTGATGGAAGGTATAGTTTAATCGCCACCTTTATGTTTTCTGTTTAGTTGATAGTAAGCAAGCAAACTAACATCCCCATCACTGGAATAGAGGAATCAACACTAACTCATTAACTACTATGCAACTCAACATGCGTTCATTAGCTATATCAAATAGAGTTTCTTTTCTATGCAGACACTTCGCACACTAACCCTTCAAAACAAAATTATCATTTTAGCTTCTGCGCTAACAGTGTTACTGACTTCTTTAGACCGAATCATTTGTTGTTTTAAAAATGGATAGAAGGACGTCAGTTTTTTCAGTTGCATTACTTAATATCAGTTCCAAATTTACGACAAATTGATTAAATTAATTCAGTTAGTTAGTTAACTGCAGTTCCAGCTTCATGAAATAAAGTAGTTACCAACTGCTGTTAAAAGCGTTATGGTTGGTGCACAATGGCTGAAATATTGTTTCTTTTATTTTTGGTAATAATCCTCTGCATGTGTCTTGTCTGCTGACAATTTTGGCCATCATGCTTTATCAATCCTCTCTGCCGTTTGACAAATACAGCAGAGCATGCGTTCGTTGTTGCATGAGTGTGGTTTGTATAACTGTCACTCAACTAATTCAGAAAAAAACAAAACAATATTCCTAACAACTCTGCCTTTTCAAACTTACCGAACCCATCCCCCCTCCCACCGCTTTTCTCTCTCACACACACAGTCACAACCTGCCCCTAACGGGGGACCTTTCTACAACACAGACACAGTATAGATACTACACACACACTTGTGGAGACAGGGAATTCAGCAAAATGGACTTCAAGATGACGCCGAAGAAAGACAGGAAAATGTCCAAGAAAGACAAGAAAATGAACTAAAAAGACAAAAACACAACCAAGAAAGAGACGAACCAGTCAAAGAAAGATATTTAATATGAAGGTAAAAAAAACTATCGCTTCTTCTTTATTTTTTCTTTTTACCGCTGTGGGTATAGAGGGAGATATAGCAAACTAACTTCCCTGCCTCACTGGCACATAGTACTGGTAGAGTTTCTCTGATGTTATCCTTCCATCTTGTTCTTGGTCTACCCGTGCTCTACGTCCTTAGCTATCTTCCCATGTATCTTTGTATGCAGATGGTTCGCACACAGGCATTCTCTCTAAGTGGGCAAACCATTATCACTTTTGTCTTTGTATGTAATCCAGAATTGGTTTCTTTGCCGACTGTTCTCATTGTTGTCTCAAAAATGATCTTATCTCTTATGACGTCAGTCCTACAGCTGCCTTCTCTTATCTCATTTCCAAATTACTAATTTTCTTTTATGGTTTGTTGAGAGTTACCATGTCTGGCAGTGGTAGCACAGAGTTATGAAAAATGTGTGCTTTGAATAAGATATCTCTTTGTGCTGATTGGGATTGTCAGATGCTGTAAGAGGGGGCTAGCTGTCTCAATACTTGGTTTGCTTTACTGCATCTAATGTCACTTTATCCAATTTCCCATCTTCGGTAAATGTACCCAGCTATTTAAACTCAGCTGCCTGTTTAATGCCTTTGTATTCTATTGTTATGTTTAGATCTGTCTTATTTTTTCCTATTGACATTACTTCTGTCTTTTCAGTGTTGATTCTCATATTATTTTGTTTTACATTCTTCATTCATGGATGTTAGATGTTGTTGCAATTTCACAGCTGTATCTGCTATCAAGGCCTGGTCATCTGCAAAGAGTAATTCGTTGATCTTACTAAGATCTTCATTCATGGGCTTGGCATTCTTGCATGACTGTCGATGTAGGTGATAAACAGCAGTGGTGATAAGACAGACCAATGTCTTACTCCAGATGTCCTGTGAAAGGATGAGATGTTCCCTGATTTAAACATACTACACTTCTACAATCCCTGTACCGCTTTTTCTGCACACAGGATGAGGTGTTCGCTTGCCCTCCATATCTTGCCATTATTTTCCAGAATAATAGTCCGTTTATATACATTTTGAACTTTTTGTAGCGGTAAATAATCCATTGCCGGCTTGCTAGGCCTGTCACGCAACTTCACCAGAGCCCCGTTGGACAGGACGTTTCGGGGTGACCCAAAAAGACAAACACAAACCTTCATGGCTACCGTAGCGGTCCCGTGGCACGAGGCCTAAAAATACTTCGCCCAACACCTAGCAATCCCCCCACTTTGTCCTGTTACCCCTCCCGACGAGGAAGTGGGATTGGTCTTTAAGGGCCTATGTAACAGCATAATTGTAGAACCCCTCCCCCCTGGAAAGATGCCCCCCCCCCCCCCCCCCTGTCCTTCCCCAACCTCCTTTACTTTCAGGTCGTAACCTTAGATATAACGTTCTAATAAAAGGGAACCCGAAAAATATGATGGGGAAAAAAAACATTGCAGTCACCATTCTCAACAACAACGACAACAACAACAACAATACAGAAGACAAGAAAACGACAAAGGCAAAGAAGAACCCGACCAATATATACAATAAACCGACCAAGAATGAAAACAACCCACTACTCCAATCTAATATCGGCTGTATGGAAATTTCACCCAGTCACTCTCTCTCTCTCTCTCTCTCTCTCTCTCTCTCTCTCTCTCTCTCTCTCTCTCTCTCTCTCTCTTTTCTTTTTTTCTCTCTCTCTCTCTCTGGAATCCTGACGGGGCTGGACTTCCACCCCCCCACCCTTTTTCCCCAAAAAAATCACTTAGGCTCCCAGGTCGAATCAACCTTAAATGGGTACCAGATATAATACTGGGAGGTGAAGGCAGCCGGCGTGATGATGACATTATCACCCACTAAGTGACGTTTGGTTTATAAAATATAGGTCTATCCCTATCTACCAATACGGCTGAATGCATGGAAAAGGGTCCTTTACTTCACTCTCCATCTTATCGCATGTTTTATGTTTTTTATGCTCATTTAACGGATCAACATCATGGAACACGGGTGTAACCCATAAGTGCTCCTTTCTTCTTCTCACTGAAGACTGATTCCAAAGAATCTCAGCGCAGTGCACGAACTCTGTTGCACCGGCGAGGATCCTCAAATACTTTAGGTAGATTTTCAGCTCTACATTTTGTACGGGCAGCGCCGTTAGGCTACTCTTCGATTTCCAACTGCTAAGGGATTTTTTTTAGTGCGCAACAGTACACACGGGCGTCTGCTCTTACTACACAGAGATCGGGGGGAATTACTATACTAGAAATCCATCTTTAAATTCCTAGCCCTCACTGGGACATGAACCCTGGACCTCTAGCACTCGAGGCGGACACCATACCTCAAGACCACGCAGCCCCCATATATATCTTATCACAGCTACCAACAAATTCTTACCCAGGGCTTCCTCTTTTCTTTCGGCTAATATTTTCGCCCCTTTACACCCTATCTCAACCAGCTCATCACTTATCTGACACTTTCCAGTTCTCTTACCTAGTTTGACATATTGATTTGTATATTTTACTGTGTAAACAATACAAACAAATCTAGCACCATTTACCCTTAGTTTATCACATGTTTAATTTTACAAAATAATCATATAAGTCTAGCATAACATACGTTTATTTTGCCACTCTTTTTATATTTCAATTCATCATCTTTATAGGCCTTGGCTATATAGCCTTGATGTTATCATTTTTAAATATTTTACTAAATAACTTATATAAGTCTAGCATTATGTACCTCCATTGTATCCCTATTTTTATATTTCATTAAATAACATGTACAAATATATCACCATATACGTATGCTTTTATCACTAACAATATACTTTACCTTATCCAATAGACATCTAACGTCATATAAGAGTCATAAACTGTTACTCACATCAGAGCTTTTGACGTAAAATGCTACACAATATTTCTCAAAATATTGTTGACCAAGAAGAAGAAAAATACAGACATACTATGTGATCTGGACATCGAGAAGAACTGACTCATTAACAGCATCATATCCCGAAAATCGGGGTATTTTTTACCATCTCGTGACCTGGAGTGTGTAGTTTCCGGAAAATAAAGCAGATTTCCACCTTAGAGAAGATGGTTGCAAGACATTCAAGATGCATTGGCTGTGAAAGCATAAAAGTCGAGTTGAGTCAAGAATGGATATCACAGCACTCAGGGCATTCCCATGCATGCTGCGTCCTCATCTTCAACAGTCAGCGCAGAGTTCCAATAATGATGGTACCGGTTCAATCTGGTTAAAAGTCCGTCTTGCCTTTCCTCTGAGTGTAGTGAGCCAGCCAGATCCTCTGGTTACACCTAGGTGCCTCATTCTCTCCAGGCCATAATAATCGTCTTTCTCTAATGATCCGTTGCTTGTTCCCAAAGGGACTTGAGCACATCTGCCTTGTCATGTATCAGTTCACCACCCAGTGGTACGGATCCAGCCAATCTGTCTGCCTGTTCATTATTACCCACCACGCTGGCATTGCTTGGAGAAAAGATCCAAAGTATGCTCACCACCCGTGAGCTTACCATTGAAGCTTGCCACTCTGCTCGAAGCATTACTGTCTTAACCTTTTTCAGCATGCTTTCAGAGTCTGTTACAATTACGACATGTGTATGCATCTTGTTCTCTAGCCACCGGAGAGCTGCAGTTACTGCCTCCACCTCCATTCTTATGCTAGATGTTGTGGTTTCATATGCTGGGCTGTCTTGAACTAAAGATTTTCCATTGGCTTTCGCTACGAACCCCTAGGCACTTCTCTTTCCTCTCAATGCTGATCCATCTGTTTAGATAATCAGATCACCTGGGCGTGAATTGTTGTGAATCAACTGTTAGACTTCAACCTCCGTAGCACCCGCTGGCTACTCTCTGCACACCCGGCCCAATGTAATCATAATCCTACATATGTCAGACTTTTCCTCTGGTACTCTGACCCACTCCTCTCCCCGCCCAATGTTCTCAGCATGCATACTTGTCTTATTGTGTCTTCTGCTTGAGCTATCCACGACTTTCCCCTTTTCAGACTCTGACCCTTGCTTGCAATCAAAGCTTCATACAGAGGGTGTTCTTTGTCTGCAGCTACTTTGAAAGTTTGACTTAGCCTGCGAAACCTTAAGCCTGTCTGCAATAATCGGCATTGCAAGGATGTATCGTATGCACACAATCGGGGTCAGCCCCATAGCTTCATTCTGTGTGCGCTCTAGTTTCTCTAGCTGACTCTTTGAGACAGTGGGTAACCCCAATCCATAATCAATCACTGAGATGATTAAGTGCTAGTAAATTGTGAACAGCATTCTCTGCTCCATATCCATCGCTGCCATAATCTTTAGTGCGTTTAGACCTTTGTGGGCTCTTGTCACAAACCCTCTATGTGATCCCTGAAAGACAAGCTTCTATCAAAGGTCATATCTAGGTACCGCAGTCTGCTCTCTCTTTTGATGTCTCCCTGCCATTTATTTTGAGTCTGGGAACATCAGCTCTAACAATTCTGTTGTCAAAAAAAAAAAAAAACGCGACCGGACTGTTGCCTTTTCTGTGTTGATTACAGCACTCATCTCTGTACACCAGTCGATCACCTTATTTACCTTTACCTGTAACTCTTCAGCTATTTGATTCCGATCTCTCCCCTTCCTATATTCAAGAACATCATCTGCAAATATCAATATTCTGCCAACTCTAGGTGTTTCCAGGCAGGCAATGTTGCTCGTAAAAACATTGAATAGTACAGGTGAAATTGCTATAATACATGGTTCAGAGGTCCATGAACGCAGACGGAGAGCTGCCCGGCGAGTATACAAAACAGCTGCTATACAATTCACCAACCAAGGACAGACTCCCTTCTCCATAAGCGCTTTTATGAAGATACTGTATCTGACTCTGTTGTAAACGTTTTCTAAATCGAGTGCCGCTGCCACCGTTTCCTGCCTGTTCTGGAAACCTTCGAAGATATCAAAGGCACAAGTGGCTGCATTTGACCATGTGTCTTTCCCCGGCCGGTGACTCCCCAATTCTCGTGAAAGGAGATTACTCAGTTCCTAAAATCTTGTAGCTTACCCACCGCTATCTTCTCCAGCACAAATTGGTTGTAGAACTGGCTCGGGAAAGAAAACATTTCAAGCTTGCCTTGAAGAGAGAGAGAGAGAGAGAGAGAGAGAGAGAGAGAGAGAGAGAGAGAGAGAGAGAGAGAGAGAGAGAGAGAGAGAGAGAGAGAGAGAGAGAGAGAGAGAGAGTCTTAAAAAGACCTGCTGAAAGGTGAGATCATACAACATTGATTTCATTATTGTTTTATATTTTACTGTATTACCTATGCACTGGTAATACATAACCTGGATTTTTAGCATTTCGATGTTTTAAACAGCCTTTAGATTGAACCAACGCATCTAGCTAAAGACAGGAGTCTACCTTCCTCACAAGAATATCGTAATACTAATTATTATTTATTTGCAGAGATATTTTAAAGACCGAAAAAGAAAAGACATTCCTACCCAGGTAACAACGAAATCATTACCCTAATTATAAAAATCTATCAAGGACGAACGCAGTATAATTTGTTGCTTTTATAACGCCACTTGTTTAAAAAATAAAAATAAAAACATCAAATATCATCAACCTGCAGATTTAAAAAAAAATCAATCAATAACTGCATTTTTTGTCATTTACCTAAACCTTTACGGCAAACAAGCCCCTTGAGTATTTTACTATATCCACTATGCATCCTGCGGCGTCCGTGTCTAAGGCATCGCGAGTCCGATCGAAACCCACTGCGGGCTGCATGGATTTGTATCATGGTATGGGACATCGCAGGTCGACCCAGCCTCAAATGGGTACAAGGATGGCTGTCCTGGGGAAGTAAAGACGGCCGGCGTAATGTTGACCACCGAGTACCGATTGGTCTGTAGAAAATATGTGACGCTCTGCCCATATCCCCGATGCGCCTAAGGCGTGAAAGGGATCTTTACATTACATTTTACTATGCATCCTGTGTTTTAAAAAAATGCTCAGATGCGCTTACTATACCACTGATAGAGCGGTGGAAAAGATGAGAAAGGAGGAGCAGAAGCCTCTGCTGGAGATTGAACTGTTACCAATAAATGGTTATACAAGTATACTAACCTGACATAATGTCTGGCCAAACCAAACAGCGAAGCGGACATTTAACTACAAGTAAAAAAAAAAAATGCACCAATCACACGGCAAGCAATAGGGCTATTGGTTGTTTTTATATTTACGGAATGTTTAGCAATTCTAAGAATTAAAGCAAACAATTACGTTTACAGTAGTAGAATGCAACTAAAATTCAAGGGGAAAAAAAAGTGAAAAGAATAAGCGATCAATCTTTTCTGCACTAATACTTTGCTGCTCATGGTATTATACCGTCCACCCGCTGCCCATTACCCTATGTAATCATAAGCGTTGGAACTTTATTTAGATGCCACGGAAGGTTCCCCCTCCGACCACTCGCCTCAATAATGTTTTTTTTTTTAAAGACGTTAAGCATCGCTGAAAAACGATGTACACAAATTATCTATAAACGTATTTGACTGTACATTCCACATTTTTTTTCTAGATATATTATTACAGCATTTTACCATCCCATGCATTGCCATTGCTCAAAGAATTCACTGTCATCACCCTTGTGGGATGCAATTTTTCATTTGTTTGAACCCCCACCCGGGGGTCACAATATAGCTTAACGGTTGAACGCGGTTTCTGTGACCTCTCCACGGGTTATCCTCAGCCGCATGATGGCACTTTGTGTGATGCCCTAGGTGGGGTTAAACTTACTCATTTATTTCTGGACTTAGATTATGCCTCATTAGCGTGTGTTACTTAGAAAATGTGTATGAGGTATATAAGAGGGCCAAGATCACTACATTACAATACCTAGAAAAATTTTTTTTTGTTAATATATACCACCGACTGTAATATTGTTAATTAGGTATTAACAACAAACATATCTTTTTCCTGTACTATTAATGTAAAATAGACAATCTGATGTTTTTTTCCCCTAGCATGTCCACGCACAACGTTTGGAGAAGATTGCATAGAGATTTGTAGTAGTTCACTGCTCCGGTCAGCTGTGTGACGCAGTTACTGGAAAATGTGCATCGTGTGTACAGGGGTTGGATGGTGATTATTGTAATCGCAGTAAGTATCGCTGTCATTTTGTCGGTAGTGTATTACATACAAATATCGCCGATGGGACTGTGGATGTGTAGCTTCAGCACGTACTGTCATGCAAGACAGCGGTGCAATAAGTCGTGTGTACAGATATAATCTTTGCCATGATGCCAACCAAATTGTTATTCATCCAATTATCCAGTGTCTTATCAACAAAATAAGTGAATAATCAAATCAATCAGAAAGCCACCAAAACCAGCACAAGACGATCACCATATAATGGAGAGACCAGAGCGAGTTATTATTCTACGCCTTAGAACAGGACACAATGGACTTCGTAGCCACATGTACACAACATTTAAGATTCGGCGAACTAGCCATGTGCACATGTGGATTGGCACCAACAGGTCATGTCCTCCAAACTGTCCCAAATACAACATATCAAGGCGAAACTTTTGGCCAAGAGAAACGTTGGTGCGAGTCAAACTTTACAGGTCGCTGAGTGAATTGCAAAAGACAGTGAAGTAAACACTAGAGACAACATTGCAGATATAGATAATCTTTTTCAAGCAAACGAAAGAAGAAGAAGAAGAAGAAGAAGAAGAAGAAGAAGAAGAAGAAGAAGAAGAAGAAGAAGAAGAAGAAGAAGAAGAAGAAGAAGAAGAAGAAGAAGAAGAAGAAGAAGAAAAACAAGAAACTATCCAGTTCCTGTTTTACCATGCTCATTGTTTTTATACTCTGAGCAATTTAGTTGATAAAATTTAGTTGCTTTAAAATGGACATGAGCTCGTCATATGTGCGAGGATTTATTCTTCTTCTTTCTTGAAGAAGGATACCACCCAACAGAAGACGTTACAGCCGCTTTGATGGCTCGTAAGTTCACCCTTTAATGATGAGACTAGATAGGTAACCGATAAAAGACACAGCCCCTGGGTTTGAAAGGGACAGTGGGTTAGCAACATACATATTACTCTTCTGTTGCCCTATTACTGACCGGACAACCTCAACACTGTATACTGGCTTCCATTGCCATTAGCCTGAAGAATCAATAGCACAAATAACTACTGAAAGTTAAACATACCTATGAACCAACAACAAAAAAACAAGGCCTGAATTCAATGAAAAGAATATAAACACTTCTAGTAACTCTCTCTTCTACTTCTGCTTCAGCATTCCTAGCCCTTGAGGTTCATTGCTGCAGATATCACCCACCTCCATTCATCTCTCTGTTTGGCCTTCTCTTTCCAAGATCTGTCTGGACATTATCTTTCCATCGGCTTCTTCTACACCCTGCAGATAAAGAAAAACAGTGACTCTATAATTTTTATATATTAAAACCTTCACGGCAAACAAGCCTCCTGAGTATTTTATTATTTCCACAGTGAATCTGGCATTTTCTTTTTTAATTTTCCAATTGCGCCTATAATACCACTAATAGAGCTATGGATAAGAGGAGAAATGAGGAGAAGAATCCTCTGCTGGAGACTGAACTTTGACCAATATATTGTTTACAAGTGTACTAACCTGACACAATTCCTGGCCAATGAGTATCAGAGAAATGGACTTTCAACTTCAAGTCAAACAAAATGCATCAACCACACGCCACCGATGAAGCTATAATTTGTTTTTATTTAGGTAATGTAGGTAATTGTACCCCACCAGGACTTCACAAAAGCGATAAACACCCGATTACACAAAGTACCACCATGTGGAGAGGTCCCAAAAAGCCAGTTCAACTGTTAGACTATATTCAAGGCCCGGCTATGTTAAGGACCTCCTGCAAAAGCCAGGGTATTGTTTTTAAAAAAAAATTTTCTTTCCGTAGGTGGATAATTTATATTGTGTTTAAATTTACTGAATGTTCAGCAATTCTAAGAATTAAAGCAAACAATTAAGTTTAAAGCCAAAGTAGAAGGCAAAGGGGTCAATTTGGTCTAGAGGCATAGTGTCTGCCTCGAGTGCTTGAGGTTCAGGGATTTTTTCACGTGGACTTGGACTTCTAGTAATTCCCCCTGGTCTCTCGGTAGTGAGATCGGACGCCTGTGTGTATTGTTGCACACGTAACAAATCCCTGGTAGTTAGAAATAAAAAATAGTCGCCCATTGGCGATGCCCAGGCAAAATTTAGAGTTAAAAAACTACCCAAAGTATTTCAGAGCCTGTGCACTGTGCTGAGCTTCTTCGGACTCAGACTTGAGTTAGAAGAAGAACGGAGCACTTATGGGTTACTACCCGTGTGTCATGATGTTGATCCGTTGTTCAAAACCTCAAACCTTAAAGTAGAATGCAAACTAAAATTCCAGGAAAATAAAGGAGAAAAAAAGCGAACGAACTTTTCTGCACTAAAACTTTCCTGTTCATGGTTGAAACTATTAGAAAGTTAGCGTACTGTCCATGACTCCATGTTATCATAAGCACTGTAATTTTATGCGGATGTCACGCCAGGTCTGCATTGTTCCATCTCCAACGACTCGCCTCAATAATTTTTTTTTTAAGATCGTTGAGCAGCCCCGACAAACAATGTACACAATTTATCTATAAACGTATTTTACTACATTCCACAATTTTTTTTTCCAGATACATTATTGCGGTATTTTACCATTCAACGCATTGTTATTGCTCCCAAAATGCACCGTCATCCCCCTTGCGGGATGAAATTTTTCTTTATTCTGAACCCCCTCCCTGGCTGATGTCAGAGGCTGCAAAATAGCCAAACGGTTGAACGCGGTTTCTGGGACTTCTCCACTGACGATCCTTAGCAGCATTGTGGCGCCTTGTGTCATCGGGTGTTTATTGCTCCGTGTGATGCCCTGGTGGGTTTAAACTTACTCACTTACTTCCAGACTTAGATTATGCCCCATTAGCTCCCCCTACTTGTGTTACTTATAAAATGCGTATGAGGTGTGTCATAAAGTGACGATCACAATACAATACTCAGAAAAAAATACTATTTTATTGATAAATACCACTGACTGTATTATTGTTAACTAGGTATTATCAACAAACATATCTTTCTCCTGTTCTTTACATGTTAATTAGTCAATCTGATGGGTTTTTTCCACAGCATGTCCATCCACAAAGTTTGGTGAAAATTGCACAGAGACATGCAGCACAAACTGTTCCAATCAGTTGTGTGACGCAGTTACTGGAAAATGTACATCGTGTGTACAGGGGATGGATGGTGATTACTGTAATCAGAGTAAGTATAGCTAACATTTTGACGGTCGTGTATTACATACAGCTATTACCATGGGACTGTGAATGTCTAGCCTCCGTGCTTACTGTCATACAAGACAGTGGTGCAATAAGTCGTGTGAACAAATACCTTCCTTCCCATGATGCCACCCAGGTTGTTCATCCTTGAATTATCCAGTGGATCTCTCGTGCGAGAAGCCAAAAGTGCTGGGCCGGTCTCCATCCATGATATTGTAATGATTGCACAGGATATAACGGAGTGAAAGTATAGAATGTGAGCTCTGTATAACATATAATGGCACAACAGGACAATGAATGAAGTACCATTCTCACATTGATATTGTTACTATTATTATGGTCATAGACTGAGACTAAGTTTCCTGATATATGGATGAATTTTGGAACCTTAAAATATTTAATTGACACATTTTTTTTTCTAAACTGACAGCTTGCAATACTACATGGTATGGTGAAAATTGTTCTCTGCCATGTAGCCAAAACTGTTCTGATCAACTGTGCAATGCCTTCAACGGAAGATGTCTGACATGTGTTTTTGGGAGGTCTGGTGAATTCTGTCACGAAGGTAAAATTTTAGCTTGATAGACATTTATTGAATCTGGTTTGTAGTAAGCATATAAATGACATGACTTTGACTGAAGCCATTCAAACGCTTCTTAAACCATAAATGTGAAATTGTTCGGCCACTTGTGGAGAATATCCTATTACCAACCGAAACTTGGAAAGAGGTATCATCAACATCAAGTGCTTTGCCGACTAGTGTGGTTGATCATCCTTCTAGAAAAGCTGCGATCTTCAACAGCTTGCACCAATCGCTGTATTTGCACGCATCCCTGCCATGACAACATGCTGTCAAGAATCTTGTCTACCTCTGTATCTTTTTCCTACCAATTTTGTCCAGCGGTCAGACATGTTCCAGTTTCCTTCTTCTCACAACTCGACCACACTTTGATGACAGTCTCTGATGTTTGTGATGAGTTGTCTTAGAGCAGTTGCTCTCAACTTTCCTAACGCCGGGACCTTTGGTAAAGTTCCCTCATGTTTGCGGCGACCCCAAAACAATTATTTTCCCTTATACCTTCAATGAATATATCTTTTCCGATGATCTTTAGCGACTTATGTGAAAGGGCCGTTTGATCCAAAAAAGGGTCGCAGTCGGCAGGTTGAGAACCGCTGTTTTAGATCCTACACCTCTTTCAAAACATCTGGGCCGCTTTTTTTTTTTTTGAATATAAGAATATTAGGGATTCTTCTGCAACGCCACATCAAGAAATTGATTGACTTCATAAACTGTCCAGAATTCACAGCTGTTAGTTACAAAGAGAATATACCTTTTACTGACCCTAATTCACTCTTATAATTTTCTAAATTTGGTGTGGAATAAGTGGCTTGGGTGGGGGTACGGAGGGGGGGGGGTGAGGATGAAGCATTTTTGCGCATTCTAGTCATATTGTTAAACATTTATGTCTAGATTTCTCTCATGTTTGGAGATCCAGTGGATGTGATGCTTTAGTAAATATGTAATTTCTTCGTAGAGATATCATAATGTAATAAGCTTACACTAAGACAAGAAATAGTCTACAGTACAATCTGAAAAAAACACTTTTTTAACTCGTAACTTCATGCTTGCAATGTAAAAAACACTGAAAAGATCAATTATCCTGAAACTGAAACATCGAGTACCACTAAGAAATATGGAGAAAAGACAAACGGATGAAACTGGAGTCTTATATCTAATCTTAGGATCCATCAAATATGAAATTAGTAGGGACGGGAGAATGAGAAGCAGCAATGAAATGCAACATCTATTTAAATAACTATACTAGCTGACATCAAGTGGACTAATAGATTGAAATTACTAGGGCATAAACAGAAAGTCGTAGAAAGCAGAGTCAAAACATGCATGAACAAAAGAGCTGACTGAGAACCACGAGACGGATCTACAAACATTTGGAGTCACCAATTCGGCCGAGAAGATCAGTGACACAGTGTGACATCTATCAAAGGCGCGAACAATGAAGAAACCATAAAGATATGTTTAAAATATATTATGAACTAAATCTTTCATAGCTGCATTTCTATAGATCCAGTTGTATTGTAAAAAGGTAAAAAGTAAAAACAGTAAAGATCTCTTTTCCCGCCTTTAGGCGCATCGGGCATATGGAAAGAGCATCCATATTTTTTACAGACCAGTCGGCGCTAGGTTGGTAATAATGTGGTCAGCATTATGCCGGCCGTCTTTACTTCCCCAGGACATCCTCCCTGGTACCCATTATAGGCTGAATCCACCTGCGACGCCCCGTACCATGATGAAAATGCACGCAGCCAGCAATGGGTTTCGATTGCGGTACATTGGACTTACGAGTCTGACTCATAACGCCCAAGCCACGGACTCATTCATTCATTCATTCAGTAGCATGTCCCTCGCGGAACCTCGCTGCCATAACAACCCTCCGGAAAACCTTCCTATCCTGAGCAAGATGTCCTACGTCTGATACACCCATCTGGAGATCATCTGCCACATCCTGCACCCATCTTCTCCTTGGTCTTCCTCTTCCTCTCTTCCCAGGCATATACCCCTCCATTATTGTTCTCTCTAGACTTCCATGACGTTTCAAGTGACCAAAATATCTAGCCACGGACTAGATTAGAAAATATAGTTAGAAATATTCGTTAATGCGATATTATTTATGTTTCCTGCAGCAGTGCCCCTAAGTGAACCGGATAAATCTATCCCTTTAGCTTTGATAGTGGGACCTATGGTGGCCTTCGTTGTACTGGTTGCATTGATTATTACCGGCGTGTTTATCTGGAGGTAAGGACAGACTAAATTTAAACATGTAACAGATTCAAGGCATTTAGGCTTATAATGCCTGTAGCAATATTGTAAACATATATAGATATGTTGAAGGAACTAAATACTTAAATAAACAATTGACACATACAAGGCAATGATCGATACACGAGAGGTCATATAAGAAAAACATATGGATCTGTAACGCTAATAACATTAAAGAAAGACAGAATCGTATTCAAACACGATCAACACAGATGATAACCAACACATTTATGAAGTAAAACAGGCAGCTGTGACAGAATATGTAATCATAAACTGATTGATAATTTAGATAATAAAGCAAATGCACCCTTTTTCATGCCTTCAGGTGCATAGGTCACTTAGGGTTAGACTTGTAATTTCTATAGACAAATCGGCACTTGATGAATAATGTAATTAACATTACGCCCGTCGCCTTTGCTTCCCAGGACTTTATCTGATACCAGTTTACGTCTTGTTGGGTTCACGTGGGAGCTACGTTTATTTCTAGAAACAAAACAAAAACCCTGGCACAGTGAGAAATTTAGGTTATGAAAAAATCGGTGCTGTTTCTTTGCCAACTTTTTTGTTTTGTTGGGTTGGCATACTGAACTCAATCGACTAGAATTATTAATTGCAGACATGATTGTCCATGCCTCACATGTTTACTAACCTAAGGCAATTTGCGTGTTTTGTATGTGTACAATTTTCACCTTAGTTTCGTCCATGTGATTCCAAACGCACTGGTGTCAAAGATAATTAGGTTTGCTTTTGACGTCGAAAGACACCAACTTTTTTACACTTAAAGGCAGTGAAATATAGCAGATTGGTAAAGAGTGAAGCTTGGGGAGCGCATGTGGTGTGAGCTGCCCACATAATAAAGTGTGTTTAGCATGAGTTGGTTGAGGGCCCATGCTCCACAGCAGAATAAAGGGTAAAGTAAACAAAAAGTCCCTTTTCCACGCTATTAGGTGTATTGGGAATATAGTGCTAGACCTATATTTGTACAGATCAATCGGTACTTGGTGGGTGATGTGGTGAGCATCACGCCAGGCACCTTCACTTCTCAGGACTGCACCTTGTACCTGGGTCAACCTGGGAGTCGAGGTCATTTTTGAAAAAAAAGACCAGCTCTATCAGGACGCGAACCCACGACCTTCCGATCCCCAGGCGGGTAAATAGCCTCCCATGCGACGGCTAAGGATAGAGCGTAGAAGAAGAAAAATAGATACCCCTGTTGGGGTGTGAAGTGATTATACTAAGCCATGACATACCATTTGTAATGGCATGTTCCATTCCTTGTTGTCATTCCTGCAGAGATATTCCGAAAATTTGTACTTATTTTCATGAGTCCGAGTCTAAACCACAGCCAAACTTATCTTAACAATGATTCTGCATCCCCTGGGAATTAAATCTAGAACAGTATATTGGTCAGCAGTGGCACTATTTACTCTGTCACCGCAGTTTCTCTAAGGTATATTTACTTTCTAATAGACAATTTACGTTACCAGGGGCTTTACCACTACCGGAAACTTTATAGCAATGGGAGCAGCCCCAGTATAATTTTCGATCAGGCGAAAGCCTCATAGGTCTTAAAAGCCTTGTTTAAGTAAACAATAATTGTAACCAATGTTTTTTGTTATTGTTGTAATCATCATTAACATAACCTGAAGGAACTATAAATATAACACAATACATTTAAAAATAAAAAAAGAGTAACTATTTAAAAAAAAACAGTAATTTGATAGAATATATACGCTGATGGAAAGGTTTGGGTGGGGGGTGGACTCAGGCATTTTTCACGTTGTCCAACAGGTGGCGGCCCAGCAAGGTATTTGCGCCACCAAACAACAACAAAGCATTGCAACTAGGGCTGTACCGAATATTCGCTTCGTATTCGCTTTGGGGCCTAATAGTGGACCTAATAACTATTCGGTATTCGGCCGAATAGTTGCGGTCGGGCCGAATACGAAAAGTGGTTACCTTACTCCCGTTTCTGCATACACTGCGATGGACTGAAATAACTCTCTCATAACACAATAGTTGATGTTGCCTGAGTCTGTCGTAGCAGGGGAAACTGCGACCCGGGTTCGTGGTACAAACTGCATAAAATGCCAAACGCAGCGTGTGTGTGTGTGTGCGTGTGTGTGTTTGTGTGTGAGAGAGAGAGAAAGAGAGAGAGAGAGCACTGGAAAGATTTGTAGAAGGAGGGATATAGGAAGACAACGATAGAAGATTCTTGACAGTCTTGTTGCATGGCGTGGAGGTATGTCAGCACACAAACTGATACATGCTGCAGGAGATAGCAGATTGTGGAGAGTCATGATCGCCCACGCCAGTCGGCAAGTCACATGATGATGATGATACACTATTCGTATTCGGCCGAATAGTTGGTCTCACTATTCGTATTCGGCCGAATAGTGAAAATCACTATTCGGTACAGCCCTAATTGTAACGAATATCATTACTCCGTACCCCGTGAATATTATTGTTCCGCTGGCTAGACAGAAGTGTGACTTCTGTCTGAGATACGTTAGTTAAATTATTTTCTGTATTCTAGTTCGCATTTGTGTTATTATTGATTTATTTATGTGCTGATGAAGGTTCTCTACAGCAAAGTTCACTTATTGTTTCTTTTTCTTTGATATTGTGAAGCTGTTTGGTTCTACTTGTTGCATTGATGTCTCCACTGAATCTTACACCATGTCTTGTTTAATGTTTAGGAGACGCAGGAATACCAAGGATGATCACGAGCAAACTCTTAGCAGGTTTCCGAATTTCCCTGAACCTGACAGCACAGGGAATGGGAAATTTAACGCAGTGACAACAGACAACGTTTATGAAACGCCTTCAGGTGTGTAGCATTAATCATATAGGTTAAGACCGCGTATTATACAAAAAAGCACATTGGGCAGATTGTACATTGGGCATTCCCATGTGTGCTCTGTCCTCCGATGAAACAGCCACTTCAAGGTGTCTCTACTGTTTGTTTACTTGGATAGTTGGCAATAGTTATCTCATATCTTGAAATCGAAGACGGCATAAACATGCTTCGGCAAGCTTCACTCCCAGCTCATATAATCGTGTTTGCTTCAGAGATGCGCCATTATCAGCTTCAGAGATGCGCCATTATCAGCTTCAGAGATACGCCATTATCCCCTGCGTTGATTTAATCAGCTCTGCCCATGCTTCTTCCCGTTTACCTTGGTGCATTACTTGCCAGCTGGTCAGCACATGCAAAGCCGTTTACTCCTGACCACCCATCTTGCCATCCCTTTGAGTGTGGTGTATCGACTAGCACCCCTGGTCATTCAAAGCCAGTAGCATTGCAAAGTCAAGTGGTACTCTGTGTAGAATATCCCCTATCGCCCCCTCTTCTTTCACACACACACACACTCACAAACACACTCACACATATTTTTAAATGTTAAAAACACATAGGTTTTGCATTTTGTCAACCCCCCTCCCCAATTCCCCAATGACGACAGCCTGTGCGGCGCACACCTTCGCACGCCCATTTCTTCGTCGCCTTTGAGACTACAGCATTTAGTTTGAGAATGGAGGCAGAGGCAGTCAGAGCAGCTTTACTTGGGTTTGATAACCAGCCGGACGCATATGTCGTGATTGTTACTGACTCACAAAGTATATAAGGAAATTTAGAGGCTTTCATGCTACGTGCAGAAAGGCAAGCATCGCTTCCGAGGT